CGCCTCACGCTCCAGACCCGCCCCCCACGCTCCAGGTCCCGCCCTCGCCCCAGAGTTTCCGGGTCTCGGCACCTGGAGCCCCGCCTCTCATATTTAGGCCCCGCCCCTGACAGCGGTCTCCCCGCCCGCCCGTCTGTTAGCCCCGCCCCTCAAGCACTAAGCTCCGCCCCCAGCCCTACCCTCCAGTTTGCCGCGCTCGGAGCCCCGCCCTTTAGGCTCGCGGGAGGGCAGGTCCGCAGTGGGCCCGCCCACACTTTTGAGGCCCCGCCCCGAGGCTCCTTTAAGAGGCAGGGTGCCGAGGGCCACTCGCTGGCGACGTTTCGGTTCCTAGGGTCCTTCAGTGACGAGCAGGTGGAGGGTCACCCCCTACTGAGCGTGGACTCGCAATGGCCAGCCTACCGGCTGTGAGACTGGGCGTTGCCCCCCACGACACCATGGAAAAGTACCAGGTGCTGAGTTCCCCCCTCGCGTGACCGGTAACGGTTCCCGCGGCGGGAGACCCCAGCCTCCGCTGCGGGGTCCCGCGCTGCTCGCCGCTGCGGCCTCAGTGTCCCCCTGAAATGAACTCTGAGGCGCGAGGACAGCTCCTTCCTTCTACCTAGGTCCCTGGGCTGGGTCCGCAGGCAGCCTGGGACCCGGAGCACTGGGGGAGCCCCGGAAACGTCCCGGCTCTCCAGACACAAAGGAGAGCTCTGGATGCTTTGTTTTTGTTTCCGGTGGTACTGAGGATCTTTGAACCCAGGGACCCCTCTGCCCTTTCATTTTTTGAGGCAGGGTCTGGCAAAGGTGCCCAGGCTGGCTCTGACCTGCAATCCGAAAGTGTTCGGATCGCAGGCCTGCGCCGCCACGCCCAGCTGTAAATGAAGTTTCAATGTTTCTGTACGTACCGCATCAGCTACATTAAATGTTACAACAGTTATTCATAAAAGTTTCACAAATTTGCCTGGCATGGTGGCGCACGCCTGTAATCCCAGCACTCAGGAGGCTGAGGCAGGAGGATCGTTGAGAGTTCGAGGCCAGCCTGGACTACAAAGTGAGCTGAAGTCCAGCCTGAACTGCATAGCGAGACCCTGTCTCAAAAAGACCAAAAAAAAAAAAAAAAAAAAAAAAAAAAAAAAATTCACAAATTTGGGAGGCAGTTTGTGGGTTTGAGTTCGTTCCTTTTGGGAGGATTCTTTTTGTGAGGAAGGGCTTCCCAGGCGGCCCCTGGTGAAGCAGATGTGTTTCTGGTGGCCAGGGCAGTTTACAGTTACTTTCCAGAGAAACAAACAGTCACATTAATCAGAGCTAGGGGCTGGGGATTTAGCTCAGCCGCACAGCGCCTGTCTGGCAAGTGCAAGGTCGTGAGTTCGATTCCCGGTCCCGGAAAACAACCAAAAAAAAAAAAAAGTTAATGAGAGCTGTGAGTGCATTTTACAGTGCCAAGGGCCTGGGCAGATCCATACTGCATGGCCTTGACCTCAGGCCCTAAGGCTCGTGCTGCTCCTCTGACTTTTTTTCCTGATAGGGATCAGGCTGCCCACGGCTGCATAACAGGATCCCTTTGAGTCAAGGGTTCCCAGACGCAGGCTTCCATAACTGTCAGTATCCAGCCAACCCACTGCCTGGCTCCAGCCCACAGCCCAGAGCCTCTGCAGAGTTTTCCCATGATGGCCATCTCCCCGGGGCTGACTCGACTCAGAGCCTGGAGTTTTGATCCAGTCTAGGCGGTTCTGCTCATTAGTGCTGAGCCAAAGGCTCCCTGTGCCTGTTTCCTCCAGCGTACACATGGAGGTAACAGTCATGCCGACTGCACGGGGGGCTGTGACCACGATGGCACCTTCTTGTCTGGAGTCGCAGTTTGGAGGTGGATGTTGGCTGGGCTCACAGGGGTCTGGAGAGAGTGCATAAGGGCGTGCGTGCTCTTGCATGCCAGAGCCCTTGCAGGCTGGGAAGGGGCGTGGGTCGTAGAAGGAGCCCCAGGAGGCCTCAGGGAGATGGCATCGGGCTTTTCCAGTGGAGGGCTGCTGGGCCATTTCCTACAGTGCAGACTCGGGAGATCCATACCCTTCGGGCTAGGCCGGGGTGCCAGGGGTGGGGTGGGAATCAGGAGTCTGGTGCATGCTGGTCTGCAGTGTAGGTTTGCTGACAGCCCTTCCTGGTAGATCTTGCAGGAGCTGAGTCCTGGTGCTTTGGGGGTGAACGTGGTGGTGGAGGAAGTGAAAACCAAAGTCAAGCACGTGATAAAGCAGGTCAGAGCCAAGCCCTGAGACCCATGTGGGGTGGTTCGGGGTGGTGCTTTTGCTAAGCCTTCATGCCCAGGTTAGAGAAGGGCTTTCCAGTGAGCGAGAGGCAGACCTCGCTTGGCAGATGCGAGGGCGGCAGGAGGTTTGCCAGCTTGTGTGCCTCAGCCCACCCCCCAGCCCTCCACCCCTGCGGAAAGAGTGCTACTGTACCACACCAGCCACAGTTCCCGTCATCTGCTCTGTCACTGACTGTCCCCTCATCACTGACAAGTGCAAAACAGGGGTTCCATTTTGCAGCCAAAGATAGTGAAGCTTGGGGTGCCCCATTGCCAGGGTCACATGGCTTCCAAGAGGATTTGAATTCTGGAGACACGGTGCTCCTGTTTTCCCAGCAGTCATCTGTTTTCCCAAAAGGGAGCCAGGCCCAGAGAGGACAAGCCATGGTCCCACAGGGCTGCGGGCAGGATAGGGGACCCAGGGCCGGCACAGCGCAGTGTCTGGGGGAGAGGAACTGCTGTTGTGTCCCCAGCACATGCTCCTCTGGGGTAGTGGCGGGGACAGAGTGGCATCCAGGGCTGACCTGGTGGGTGAATGGGCCTCGCTGGCAGCCGCTGCACTTGCAGGCGCCCCAGGCCTCATGTCTGCGAGGCTCAGCAGCATGGTTGCCAGGCAGCCGGCCTGGGGTCCTCGTCCACTTCCTGTTTTGTTGCTGGCTGGGGGTCAGTGCCTGGTCTAGACATGTAGCTCACTGCCTCTGGCAGTTAAGGAGCTTTCTTCTAAATAAAGATCTGGGGAGCCGTGCAGGTAGGAGCGCATGTGTCATTCCAGCCTTTTTTCTAACCTTCTGTACCCTTCTTTGTTATCACAAGAGTGGTGTAGTTGAAACTGGTAACACACTTTTCCCCTGCCTAATTAATGGTGAACGTTGCCCTGCTTCCTCTGCTCCTGGTCTGGTGGCTGTGCAGCCTCTCGTCCTGCTCATGTGCTAAGGCTGGCCCAGCCTGTCCCCTGCTCCGGAATGAGCCCTTAGCTTGTTCTCAGTTTTTCCCTAGTATAAAGAACTCTGATAAACGTTCTAACAGTTTTCTTCCATGCACACCCATGATTTCCTTAGGGAATTCCCTGGGCGTAGGATTTCTAGGCATTTACGTTTCAGTGTGTGTTGACTAGCTTCCTCTACTCTTAAAGGTGGTGGTGGTAATGGTGGTGGTGATGGTGGCGGTGGTGATGGTGGTGGTGGTAGTTAATGTGTTACTATTATCCCTTAGTTATTGCAGCTGGATCAGACCCGAAATCTCCCAAATTGGTGTACAGTGAAGGCTTAAATAAATGAATCAGGTGCTATGATTTTATGGCTCCAGGAGAATCAAAACCCTCTAACAACTACAGATTCTCGGAGGGCTAAGACAAAGATCTTCTCTGGGTGGCCCATGTTTATTTGGTTATCAAATGAAGGAGGGGAGTACTGAAGAAAGGCAGGAACCTGAGCAGGACTTTTCAAGGACCTTGGAAGTCTGCTCAAGGACTTCTCCAAGTAAGACATTATGTTAATTGAGGAGGACTACATTATCTCCAGGAAGGTCTCCACCCAAGAGTGAGATGCCTGAAGCTACAGTCTTTATCTAGTTAATTAAGGCTGCCAGGTGTGGTGGTGCACACCTGTAATCCCAGCACTCGGGAGGCTGAGGCAGGAGGATCATTGCAAGTTCGAGACCAGCCTGGGCTAAAAAGTGAGCTCCAGGCCAGCCTGAACAGCATGAGACCCTGTCAAAAAAAAAAAAGATTGGAGCCAGATATCCTTAACTGTGGCCTTTTCTTGTCCTTTGATGCATCTGGTTTCACCCACCATTACAGGCCTCAGCCAGGACCAGTGACTCACAAAAGTTCACTTACTATGAGTTCGCTGCCCATCTCCAGACGATGGACCTAGGCCTTGGATAGGATCACAAGTAAACATAGAGAGCCAATTGGTTAATTTTAAATCCTGCTCAGAGCTGCTTCATAGTGGTCACCCTCAGGTGGTGATGGTGATAATGGTGGTGAAGGTGGAGATGGTTATGGTGGCAGTAATGGAGGTGGTGGTGATGCTGGTGGCAGTGATGACAGTACAGCAGTGGCAGTGGCTCACCACACCTTCACTGATCTGGTGCTCCTATGCCCCTGCAGGTGCAGTGTATTGACCATCATCACGCCAGCCAGGCCCTGGAGGAGGTAACACCCGGTCATAGAAGTTCCTCTTCAGAGGAATGCGCAGAGACTCTGCTCTTTGCCCTCTCACTGGGGCAGGGTGGAAGGGTCCTGGATGGACGGTCAGGCCCAGTTCTCCCCCAGTTGCGGGGAGCCCCTATAAAAAACTGTGCTGACACCCTGGGATACAGGTTCCCAGAGGAGATCGGGGGAACTACTGTCTTGGTCTCTAGGCTAATCCACCAACAACTGTCTTCAAAATGATTTTCTTTCTCAGGCTGGGCTGCAGCTCATAGGTGGAGCACTGCCTGGGTTCCCTCCCCAGCACTGCAAAGAAAAAAAAAAAAAGAGTGAGAGAAAATTTTTTTTTCTTCAAATGCGGAGTTTTTTGTTGCTGTTGTTTTGTTTTTGTTTTTTTTTTTGTCCTTTTGAGACAGGATCTCACTGTCTCAAAGTTCAATGCAGTTCAGGCTGGGCTTGAGCTCACTTTGTAGCTCAGGTGGGCCTTACTCACAGCAATCCTTCTGCCTCAGCTCCTGAGTGCTGGGATTATAGGCATGCACCACCACACCCAGCTTTATACAGAGTTCTTTACCAAAGAAAATGTTAATCACCCTTAACCTCACCATCCAGATCTGACTAGTGGCCACATTCTTACTTACTTACAATAATGCAGTTATCAGTTTTTTTGTTGTTTTTGTTTTTTGAGACAAGGTCTCACTATTTTAGTCCAGGCTGGCCTTGGACTCACAGCAACCCTCCTACTTCAGCTTCCAAGTGGTAGGATTACAGGCATGTGCCACCACGCCTGGCTGGCAATTATCAACTTAATATGCAGAGGTTGGGGGCTGGAGATTTAGCACAGTGGCACAGCGCCTGCCTGGCAAGCGTGAGGTCGTGAGTTCGATTCCTGGTACCAGAAAAAAAA